AAMYTKKWRGKKGGWWRGWWAARGGGGGGCGGCACAACATCTTTGGCMCCGGGCGCCYGAAGTTGTAGCTACGCCATTGGTCGGGTCTAAGTAACCGACACGGTTTTGATTCTAGTTAGAAATGTGAGCTCTGTGGCAATATTAAAAAATTTTGAGCAAAATATAAAACACTACAATAAAAACAACACAAAATTTTCTTATTAGAGAGATCAGCTCTGCAGCAAAAATCGCAAATAATTCGAAAGGAGAAGGCACTACAAAAAGAACAATAAAAGTAAATAATTCAATACAACAACAACAAATCTTCTAAGAGAAATGCCAGTTTTGTAGCAATATCTAAAATTATTGGGAAAAGAGAATCCACTACAACAACAACAACAAAACAATATTAAATACAACAACAAAACATTTTTCTAATTAGAAATGTCAACTCTGTAGCAATATTAAAAAAAATAAATGGAAAAAGAGAATCCACTACAACAACAACAACAAAACAATATTAAATACAACAAAAAAACATTTTCTAATTACAGATGTTMGTTTTCCAGTAATATCTAAAATTGTTGGAAAAAATAAGAATCCCTACATCAACAACTTAAGTTTATTGGTTCTCAGAGGAAACGTGATTTCAGCACTGTTCAATAGAGTCTCAGTCAAGAGCACAACATGTTTATGATGCAAACCCGATCTTCGCTTCTACCTTTTCTTTATAGATGTACTGTAATCTAATCWATGGTTTTTTAAGCTCACACAGTTCAAATATTATTTGAAAGAAATGTTTTAGCTTGCGGGGTTCTCTTTTCCGAATWTCTCATCTCTAAACCTTAGTTCTAGTATAAGTAAAAAAAGGCGTATTTACGCTTGTATAGTATATCGACTAAATACGATATTCTGCTAAGCTCGAAATATTTTGTTGCTAGGTTTTTCCTGGTCCGATAAAATGGATACCTAATATTTTTAGAACATTATGCTGTCTAAACGGTCGTTTATAGCCTTCAAAACCTGAGCTTAAGCTTACCGGAAACTTTTCGGTACGATTTTGTTTAGCATGCTAACAATTTAGATTGATCCTAAAGCTGTAATTAAAAAATAGTTTTCAATTAAGTTACGACTCTAAAAGTTAAATCACCAAAACACCAGTGACTCTCCCTTAATCGACCCACTCTGAGCGCCTAATTCAAACCTAATTAGGAAGAAGAAACACAACAATTGCTGCTTATTATCGATATTTGCATATTTCCCTTATTTAGATCAATCAACGCAGATTTACCCGTCACCGAAATCAAAGTGTTAAGCACAAAAACAGAAAAGAAAGAAGCAATAAATGTAACCTATCTAACAGCAACAACAGCCAATCAAACACGCACACTTGCAGTAACAATAACACAAAAAAAAWAAAAWAATAAAAAATAAATAAAAATCGAAAAATGAAAAGCCAAATGCAAAACAAAGCCGGCGCATTGCCATTCAGCCGAGATTGCATTGATGGAATATTTTCATCAATTGACACGGTAACCAGCAGCAGTACCAAAAAGTGCAACAGCAACAAGCAGACACAATGCAAACGAGTAGCGAGTAACGAAACCCAAAAAACCATTAATATTGTGATATTTATAGACCAGCGCACGAGAGTGGGCCAGCAGCGATCAGACCACGTCGTCACTGCGCCGAATCGGTTGTTGTGGCAGTGAATGTGCGCCGAGGGGGGAGAGCGGGTGGTGGTGGGTTGACAGTGGCCCAACAACGTGGTTGTCTACAAAACAGCCAAAGCGCCSAAAGACACGCAATCTACAATACAGCGCAGTGTTGTTGTACAACAACAATATATCAATAGTAGCAACAACAATCAACAGGCTTATTGTGCATATATAACTACAACAACCATAATGACAAAATCGGCTCACTTTCACCTTGCAATGTCGTTGCTGGTCGTTGGCTCAGTTACTTTATTTCCACATCGTCATGCGAGCGGTATTTTTGTTGTTGCCGTTGCTGTTTCGACTGTTTATAGTGTTGTTGTGCACCGTATTGTTGTTGTTGCTGCTGTGTTGGCCAACATGCCACTGGGCGACTTGTTTGTCTCTTTTCCCAAACAACTGAATTTATATTGWTGTTGTTGTTGCTACCGCTTTTGTTGCTTTTTTACATTAAACGCAACGCATCAGCTTTGGGTAAATTATCACAATTCGGCGCATAATAATTTTCCAGCTGGTCGCGACGAAGCCACAGCAACGAGCGGCCTATCGCCCCCTACCGTCGGCAGTAGTCGTTACAGCGTCGCGGCAGAGGCGGCGACAGCTACAATTTCACTAAACAACCTTCACACTCGCGCATTCTTTTTCACCTTCGTCCATGACCACGGTTACTGATTTTTTCATTTCATCGATTGCATATCTTCGGCGACGTCTGTCTGCTCTCAGGCTGCTTGCTTGCGATTGTGTCTGGCTGGTGCGCGRCTTTGACGTGATCATGGTCAATCTGTCGCCGTCATCGACGCTTCGTTTACTCTTCCTCTTTGCACTTTCAAAAGAGTGTCGTGTTGTAGATATGAAGTCGTTCTGGCTGCGAATTTGTTTTGATTGCTGCCGCGCGTTGTTGTCGCTGTTGTTGCATTTGCCGGTTTTGTTGTCATTTTCGACCTTTTCTTTTTCTGTTTTGCTGATTTCCTTGATTTGTCTTATATTGCTGCATGTTTAGCGGCCAGTGTTTCCATTCTTTTTAGAAATCAATATAGTTTGAACTTAGTGGAGACTACACTTTCGGGATTTTTCTCGTTTGGTTGTCTCTTTTCTTTTTGTGTACCCTGTTTTCTGATGGTTTGATTTGAAGGAACATATGGCCACTCGATTGTGATTTTTGAACTAAACTGTTCTACTAAAACATTAGTAGAGAATGGCAAATAATCAATAGAAATTGTATAAAACTTCACATCTCATACTTTATAGGTCCGAAAAAGTTAGGAAAACCTAAGGATTACTTCAGATTTTTCTTTTCGTTGAACCTCACTTTTTACTCATACTGTTGAAGTTTTCGAAACCTCGGAAAACTTCGGCAATTTTCGTACCTCAGAAAACTTCTAGAATTTCTGCACTGAGTTCTAAAACTTTAGAAAACTCCGAAAATTTTGGYATCGAGTTTCAAAACCTTAGAAAACTTTGAGAAATTCCGTACTGAGTTCCAAAATCTCAGAAAATTTCTAGAATTTATGTTTTGAGTTTSGAAAACTTGTAGACTTTTCGTACTTATTATTTGAGAAATGCTGGATTTTATACCCGTGGCAACACAACTCAATGCTTTGCGCAAGTGCATCTCCTTTTAATTTTATGTTTCTGCTTTATTGCTGCACTTGTTTTCCATATCACTTGGTGCTACTCACTTACTTTCGTTTGCATACCCGTTTATAGAACAAAAACAACAACAAACAATAGCAAAAACTCAACTTCTTGAATAAAACTCATTTAACGCCCCTCTCTCGCTCTCTTTCGCATGCTCTCGCGCTCTCCTTCTACCACCATTGCCGCTGCATTCCAGCGTTTCAACTCGCTAACTGTTGTTATTTTTGCCATTAGTCTTCCTCCTTTCTTTCGGATCTGCCATTTGATTAGTCCAAAAATAAATTTAACACATTTTTGTTGTTCTTGCTTTTAACTAGTCACTCGATCCACGCTCGGTACCGCTCAACGCTTGCCAATTGTGTCGGTGTTGTGGTGCGTTAAAAGCTTACTAATCTCAGTACTAGTTTCGGCCGTGTGTTGTTGTTGCTGGTGGTGGCGTCTGAAACACCTTACAGTTGCGCTATCATAGTGGTTGTTTTTGTTGTTGTTGTTTTAGTTTAATTATGGCTTTTAGGCGCGAACGCTGCTTCTTCATTGAGTGAGCGYGTGTGWGTGTGTGTGTGTGTGTCGGGCAYATACGAAAATGACGTCAACGCAGTTACGAAACTTGTTTCTTCGGCTCTCTCGTCTCCTCTTTGCCAGTTTGCTACCTTGTTGTTGCCCACTTATTTGTGTTTGTTTAATTTTACAATGTCCATTTTTGTGCAAACTTAAATTTTGGCCCCTTGATTTTGTAACCCATGCGTATTTGTTATATGAGTATTTGGAATTTGGTGCGACCACTTCGACGAGCCCGTCTTTCTTTCTCTACACGCTGTTGTTGCTGTTTTTGGGTCTCTTGTTGATAAGCTTTCGTCTTTTGTCCACCGCTAAGCATTATTGAATGCGTCTTCTGCACATGCCGCTCCGCCAGCCCGAATGTGGCCGCGTTACTCGTGTAACTGTATTTTTGGGGCAAATGCATATTAAAACTTACGGCATTTACGGTGTCGCACACTAACAACAATACGACTTTATAATGGAAAAACTACCTTGCATCTTGTTTCGATTTTCTGTGCTCTACTTAACACAAAGGGCGGCTTTGTAAACCAGTTGCGATTGCGTAAGTGAAATTCGTTCGAATTTAGTTTTATTGAAAGTTATTGGCACTAATAGTTTTTTTTTGTATTTATAGATAAGCAGATTTTATGCAAAACGCTTTGACATTTATCGATAAATCGATTATTAAATCGCACCTTTCGATAAAACGATTTTATGTAAAATGCTTTTCAATTTATCGATAACTCGATTGTATGAAAAATTCTATAATAATAATAATTATACCCAACGATTACCCTCCTCCCGCCCATCCGACGCGAGGGGCCCAATCCGCGAACGAGCATTTTTTAGTATTTATAGATAAATCGATTTTACGTAAATGTTTTTAATTTTTCGATAAACTTATTGTATGCAAAATTTCTATGTTAATAAATTTTTTGGTATTTATCGATAAATCGATTTTATGCGAAATGCTTTTTCATTTATCGATACATCGATTGTATGAAAAACTTCWAAGTTAAAACGTATTCGGCATTTATCCATAAACCGATTTTATGCGRAATTATTWTTCATWTATCGATAACTCGTTTTACGCCAAATACTTTTGCATCTTTTTGACATATTCCCGAAATGTTTATGTTTTCCACTTACCTCTGGCACTCGCCGCTTAAATTCCTCCTCGCTGAGTAATATTAGTGCCGCACCATTTTCCGGGAATTTCGCCTCCAAATCTTCAATTTCTGGCAATTTGAACTGTGCTACTGTGGAACGTAGCCAAGAGTGTGCTTGAGATACCGACCAATTGCAGGGGTCTGAAAAATAGACGGGAACATTGAGACACAATAATTCCCGTAGATACTCAGTAAAATGAGGGTAGTTACGTTTCCACAAGTGGGAATTAAATTGGGGGGACATAAACTATGAGCCTCTATATACTAACTAGCATCTTTTACTGTGTCAATAGATCTTTCGAAATTTTGACAAACTTTTGATCAATCCTCGAAAATAAATCGGACTTCTTCTACGATGAATGARCTATCAAGTGAGCTTAGTACTCTCAATTAGGAAGAACCTAGTACCTAATACAGAAATGTTGTTCTTAGGTAAAGTGAAGCTCAAGCAAGTTTTTTACTTAAGGGGTTAGGTGGGTTTGAAAATCGATTTTTTTTGCCTTATTGAATTCTACAATACCTCTAGAATATTGTCCTAAATTTTAAAATTGTGTTAAGTTGAGAACTTTTGCGCTCGAGGCTTGCTGCGCTAAGTGCAACGTCTTCAAATGTGTTTTTCTCGAAACTGTAATTTTGAAGTCGCTGAACACGGTTTCTCGAAAAGTTTTYGACCGATTTAGTTCATATTGTGTACACGTTTTTAAAATAATATTATCTAGTTATTGAACAAAGGATTTTTTCTTGTTTCATTGCAACTTATTTGTTTGTTTGTYATTTGTGAGACACCCAGGGATATGAGGTCTCAACGGCTGAATTTTCAACATTTTTGTATCGAAATTTCAGGAGATATTGATAAAATATGTACCTTTGATTAACATATTATATTTTTCAAATATATGATTGCTTATATTAAAAAATATCGTAAAAATACATTTTTTGTACCTCTGAAACCCATCTAACCCCTTAAGGTCCTGAGAGCTTTAAAATTAATTTTGAGCTTGTGGTGTTGGATCGCATATTACTGGGGTTCAAGCTAACTGGATTTCAGATCCTTAACACTGTTTAAAATTCGGTATTTACACTACAGAYTATCACCTTTTGAATCACCTCGAATTAAAATGGAAACCTTAAAGATAAATTTTGGYCTTGCGACTTTTAATTCCTTCTTAAAAGTAACATGAAACTTCTAATGTTTGCTTAAAAACTAACATTACCAAGTCTATTACCCCAAAAAGAGAACTGAGTCTTCAATATATAACCTCTTTCTTTACTGGCGTGGAAACCGTTTACGCGATTATATAGTCAATATATAAATTACCTTGTGAWATCTGCAGTTTGGCACAGGTCTCCACGGCCTGGCTCTTCGTATCTTCGAGAGCCATTGAGATCACTTGTTCGATATTGTCACCAACTTCATTCATGCTACAACCCATGGGAAAGTGGTTCTCCTCGAAGAACTCACGTAGCATTTGATGGTCTTGACTTTTCTGTTGTTGTTGTTGTTGTTGTTGCTGCTGTTGCTGTTGTACGGGCATCGCTGCCGATGATTTCAAATGACATTCACTGCTGCTGTTGTTGTAATCGTTATAAGCTGCGTTGGAGAACTCCTTTTCATCGAGCAACATCTTCAGATCGTTCAAAGTCTCCACATCAGCATCGATAGGTTCCGATTTAATATCGGGCCACGACGAATGCGGTGACGGTGCTTCACAGTTGGATTCTGGTGGCGATGGTGGCAGGATGTGCAACTCTTGCTTAATATTGCAGGCATCTAGCGAGGGATATGGCGATGAGGGGTGTAGAGATGAACGCGACGAGCTCAACAAGGAGCTCTGCGACTCGAAACAACTGACGTGTTGTGAATGCGGAAAACCGTATTCCGATTGAGCGGGACTCGATTGGGGTGAAGGATAAATATGCGGATACGGTGGTGGTGGTATCAACTGATTCGCCGACTTAAGCATCGGTTGCGATTGTGGCTCGCGCTTAATCTCCTCCGGCAGGGAGATAGTGGAACCGAACGACCAAGCTTGCTCGACTTTAATCTGTGGTGGTGTTAATAGATTGTGAAATGGCACGGCGGTTGGGGACACTGCGGACGTCGTTGTTGGTGTAGTTGGTGTATTACAACCAAATTGATATACTATAGTAGGTATATTTGCGTTTGTTTGAGCACAATCCTGAGGTAGTAGTGATAGATCGAAGTTTTCGGCATAGGCGGCGAAAGGATCGTTGTAGGCGGTTRAAGACGACGCAGACGAGGACAAGGRCGCGGTTGCGTTAGATGGTTCAAGAAATGCGTTAGCGGAAATTTGTGGCTGTTCCACTTTAAGTGAAAGCGAGAGTTGAGCGGATGATTGCATCGGCCTTGTTGTGTGTGTAGTAGAAGGTGTTAGCTGCAGATGAGGCACTGTGGTGGGTGGCGCCAAGCAATTGCTTTGAGTTAACTGAAACGAGGCGAGCGAAAGAAATAAATTGTTGTAGTTGAACACTTAACAAAAGCACAGTTGTTAGATTTTTGTATATATTTGCTTATAATATAAAATATATAATCCAAGTGTTCACTATAAAGCGCTAAGCAAAGGCGCCAGTCACGCACACTCACTTTTTAAAGACACTATCTTTTATGTTATTTTGAAAGGAAATCTATTTTTAATCGAAATAGCTRGCCACTTGAATTGTTTTGTATCAGCAAAGGTGCGCGATAACCACAGCCTTGACTTCCGCGTACGTTTCCATCGAAATCAGATCAATCATAAAATGTGGCCAATGGCGGAGCGAATGCCGCTGAGCATACCGTCAACAAAGCGCGTCATTCTAAAACTAGTCGCTACAGCTTCTATAACAGAGATAAATATTTCTGTAGCACGTCGCGTGAAACTGCTAAGCATACGATTTACCTCACATAGCGTTGCCATTTTTCAAGCGCTTAGCAATGCAAATCGAGACGTTAGCGTGTTGGATATTATGACGCCACATTCGATCGATCGGGTGCGATCTGTGTACGCGAGGCGACTCAGAGAAAATTCCCAAACGAAAATGCATTTGTGCATGCCGTGAAAGCCCACATTTTGTGTTGGCTCAAAACACCCCCGTCAAAGCGATTAAGGCCTAAATGCCGCGCGGCTGTGTGTGTGTGCATAAGCACATACTCGCCTCACCGCGTCCCTAGCACTCGCAAACATTTAGCACGAAAGGGAGAATTGTTAACCGAAATGCATGCGCTGAAAGCTCGCTGCTCCAGCCAAAGTCGTGCTGGTTTGGTAAGCGCTTTAACTGTTTTTCATTCGCTTCGTATTTTTAGCATTTCCGCGCATTAGCGGCGCAAGGCGCGAGATCAAAGCTTGGCGCTACTAAAATTGCATTTCATGCTAGAACTAGTTTGGTTGTTTCAGCTAGCTATTAAGTTATCGACGCCGTTCAATATTCTCTACGCTTTGTTCTTAAGAGTTTCGTAGAAAAGCGCTCAATCACTGAACAGCATAAGCTTGAGCGCACAGCTGAAAGCTAAGCTACTATGTGTATTTTATTAATTCTATTTTGATTTGAACAGGGCTGAGTATGTGTATATCGATATGTGCTGTTATACAAAATATGTATCTACTTTACTTTATGTATATACTTTAATTTTTTTATATGTATCCATTTATATTATAATTGATTTTATGTAATTTTTTGCGCTGTGCTTTGAGAAGCGTGCCCACGGTCTTGGACAGTGGGCCAGATTCACATCAAATAACTATTTTAGGTTAGCCTAAAATGGCTACCGTGAGTGAAGAGACAGAGAAGGTTTTGGTGGATGAGGTTCCACTCAACCTAGCGCTAGCACGTCAGTGCAGGCTGCGACACTGGAAGTCGCTGATAGTGAGTACATGTGATCAAGGAGGGGCGCTACCCACGCAGGAACTTTTGGAGGGGCTAGATGACCCGATGGATGGCAGTGTAGACGGCGGCGGGGATGAGAAGCGGCTCATCATTGAACCGATCCCGTAGTGGTTGTCAACGTATAGTCTGGGCACCTTGCTGATACAAGAGCCATGAGTCTATAAAAGAGAGGTTAGAGACCTTAAGACGGACGCCAATAAAGTAATCGAGATCAATCAACCCAAAGCTTGTGTAGTAGGAAACACATTGACTGTGYAGGCCAGGAAGAGTGCATGAGCTGGCCTCACCTTTCTTTACATCCACAGGTCTCCCACTGGTGAGCTACTGCATGTGTCATAAGCTGCCCCAGATCTTTGGATGTGATGCGAACGCCCGTTTCGAGGGATGGGGCAGTACGGAATGCGATACACGAGATATCTCTCTTTTAGAATACATAATTAATAGTAACTTAGCTATAGAAAATGTCTGTTATGAGCCCACTTTTGACACAATACGTAGAAGAGAGGTGCGCAACATAATTTTGAGTAACTCATATGGAGGGTGTCAACGGAGCCCTCCTTGTGGGATAATAGAATCATAAGGTACGCGCTAAAAGTAATAGCAACTCCAACCTAGACCTAACATCCGAACGCAAACAGGGATATYTTCTCAAGACTGGAGATCATTGTAATTGTTATGATGAAAATTATGATTACGCTTCAAGAATTATAATTACATTCTTCAAGATTAAATTTTTGTAATGATAATCAGRAAAATTACTATTATGATTACAGTATTTTAATAACATAATTAAAGATTTACTTATTAGTAATGGTAATCATGAAAATWAAAATTTTAATTACTTTTACAGAGTTGTAATTAAAWAATTTAATGTGAATGAAAATTATGATTACGCTTSAAGAATTCTAACTACATTCTTTACGATTAAATTTTTGTAATGGTAATCATAAAAATAATAATCGTGAAAATAATGATTACGATTACAGTATTTTCATAAGATAATTAAAGATTTGTGTATTAGTAATGGTAATCATGAAAATTATGATTACAATAGCAGTATTGTAAACACATAATTAGAGACTTACCTAAAACTAACCGCAATTATGACAACTACGATACCGTTTACATAACTGTGATGAGCTAGTAATGGTTTCACAAATTCTAATACTAGTATTACTCATATATGATTACATAATAACAGTTTTAATAATGTTGATCAATAACSTTTAATTTCAGGCCATTTTTGCAATAATGCAGATCACAAATGCTGCAATCRCGRTTACATAACTGTAACTAAATAATGTAATTATGAAAAGTAATGTATCCCCAGTATTCAGCATATCTTATAAAATGAGCCAGCAGCGGTAATATAAGTGGAAGTTAAAAACTTTGGTTTTGCACTTTATGGCCGCAATACATACACTGTGCGCTATAAACATTGTGCTATTGTTGTTGTCATTAATGTTTGTTTAGCAGTTGCCAGCGGCCGATTTTTTAAACTGTTTCGGGGTTTTCCTACGCCAAGCCAGTTTGCGTTCGAGCTCGAGCTCGAGCTCGATCAGCCGTGAGCAGCCAGCAAGAGCAAGCGAGCTAAGTTCTAAGCACACATGAGCAGCTTTACTCGTACATATGCGAATGCATACATACATGTGTATGACATGCGAGTATGTGCTGTGTAATGCCGACGGCACTGGCAATTTTATTCGAACATTGTTGGAAATTTATATGCGCAAATTTACTTCATATGCCATATATGTATGGAAAATGTGTGTGTGTGTGTGCTTGTTGTGTATTAAAATGCAGACATAAATATGTAAATGCCAACTAGTCACGAAGTTATTACATTTTTTATTGTGCTACGTTGACTGAAAAATTGAAAATAAATAAAATAAATTCAATATGCGAAATAAAACGCTATAGAAATACGAACGCAACAACATGTGGGGGAATGTAGAATAACCCAAACGCTGGAAAATGCTTAAGCTGGGACTTTACAACAACACGTCAGCGGCAGCAGGCTGCTGGCTGCTGGCTGTTGGCAGCTGGTAATTGGAGTACTGATGTGGGCAGATAAGTGGGATATGCCATGAACTGTGGCCGCAACCGTTCCAACCGTACCAATCGTTTTACTATTTTGCTCCGCCGTTCGTGTTGTTAAACAAATATCAACAAAAACAAAGCTGCCAGTATGTGTCAATTGTGCGGGAAAATTAATTGATTTTAATTTCTAAAAATAACTTTGCGACAWGACCGCCRCACCAGCGGCCAGGTCCCTCAGCCCGTTCGTTCGTCTGTCCGTTCGTCACACAAYGTTGTTGTGCACAATGGAGCGTATTGTGTTGGCGCGTAACACAAAAATTCCTATTCGATTTATGACGTTTTCGCGTTGAATTAAGAATTTATTAGCTGCGACATTGACAGGTGTCGAGGCGCTAAGGCAGCAGCAGAGTAGACGAAAGACAGCAAAAAAAAAAAACAAAAAAAAAATTAAGTTAACAAAACAACAATCACTATTAAATTGCTATTCACATATTGAGTTGAAGCACACAATTGTTTATACATATCTTGATTGCTAGATACAATTGTCTTTTGCCTCAATTCGTTACGTTGACTTTACTAGCGGAGATTTAGAACATTTTATATTTCGTGTTGTCCCGTTGTGTGAACACTTGGAAAACGTGAGTCGAGTTGGGTTTTCTGCTTCACACACGCCAAACAATCGTTGCGTTTGTTTACGGGTATTTAAGTAAAGCAGGAAGTCCGATGGAATTTCCATAGTGATCTAATTTTGTKCGCAATATCGCACGAACAGGACAAGGCGGGAGAAATTTTAAAAGCAAATTTTTACAACACTAAGTGATAAAAAATGTTAACACTATAAATTGATAGTTGTTTGTTGGTGTGATATTATATATGTATGTATATTTATATCTTAATTGAGTGAGGGAGCCGATTTATGTTAAAGACCATTTTTAAATGGAGCCAATTAGTAAACTATCTACAAGTATATTGTTTTTAGGCCAATTAGCAAATAATTTACCCACTTTTTTTAGTCGTTTTTATTAGTCCTCTAATGAAGTCAATTAGCGCATGATCTATAAGTGTATTGTTTTTAATCGCATTAGCAAATATTATACGTAGTTCTTACAGCTGGTATAGTTAGCCTCTAATTGAGTGAATTAGTGAACAAACTAATTGAGTGAATTAGTAAATGATTTATAAATATATTAGTTTTAATATCATGAAATTCTACTTCTTAAATTCGTTTCAGGTAATCATTTAATTAAGTCAATTAGTTAATTTTTTGATTGAATCGATTAATAAATTATTTATAAGTATACAGTTTTTAAAACTTTAGTAAATGCTGTAACTATATACTTATAGTCCTTTCAGATAATCTGCTAATTAAGTCAATTAGTGAACGCTTTAATTGAGTCAATTAATAAACAATATGTATGTAAACTTGCTGTTGTTTTTGSGGGGTTTTAGTTTAGTCTATTGTTTAAAATAATACAAATGTAATTGAGCCTGTCTGAGGCTACTTTTATGGAAAAATAGATTT